CGGACCACAAGCGTGTGCAGGTACAACTGAGGGACATGGGGCAGACTGTGGTGGATATGAGACTGAGGGAAATAAAATAAATGGCACACTTCTTTCTTTGTAACTTAGCCATGCCATGACACATACATCTGTTCCAGTAGACTTGAAACCTATGGCCCTGTTACACTTCTTAATGCTTAAGAAAATTACAAAGATGAATTAGGTGAAAGTAAATTATATATTATATGAAGTAGAAATACTATACCAGAATAATACACAAGACTCATTTAACCTGGAAACTTACTATTAGTAACTTCTAGAATTATGTATTGATTTGTTGTTATGTATGAATGTGTTTCTGCTGCTGGACACTTGCATTTCTCATGGAGGGATCAATATAGTATCTATCCATACTCTGTTTATCAGCATCAGTGTCTTTTCAGGCGTTGCTTTCAGAGTGAGTAATGTTGCTGTAAGCAGACTCTGAGGTCTGAGGCTGGAGGAAGGCGGCCCCCACATGCGCAGAGCTGACTCGTGCCCACCGCAGGGAGCCCCCTCTGACGCGTGTCCTGCGACAGCCACTTCCTTTGCTCATTTTGAGCTGTGCCAATTAGGCGCTTTTGAAGTGACCCATTTACTCTTTTTAACAAGGCTCTTGGAAGTCGAGGCTTGTGATTTGACAGTATACAGTCACCTTCTGAAACATTGAAGATAAAAAAACATCTTCGATCAATGATATTTCAAAGATGAAGCGAGATGAAAGATGCTCTTTGACTGGTCGCAAGGTAATGAAACATGGTCTGAATCTCAAGTGAGAAAGACGCACTGTTGAATCTACCGTCATGATTAAAATGAGGCTAGTGCATTTATGAATTACAAGGACAATTTATGTTCATTAGAAAATATGTCAAGATGCTATTTTTCTATTGTTATCCCCTGCTGTGAAAATACAGACATACAATACAAATGCAGACATACAAATCCAATAAGCCGGCAACAAAGAACAGACAACATTGTGGACATTTATGTGTGTGTGTTTGTGTACTGGTTATCTAAACTGTTTGATCCATCCACCTACCACCATCTTTGCCCTAGCCTGGCCTTAGCCATCTCTGGTCCATGATCATTTCCTACATGTACGTCTGGGTCTGATCCTAGAGGCTGCAGTTTCCTCGGTTGAATCCCCTCCGACCAATCAGTGAGCGGGGGAGGCGAGGGTTGTAGGGAGATGTTGGTAATGTCAAGAGTTTGCACAGAATTCATTGCAGCAAACATGTTGTGGATCCGGTAGTGGCAAAGGAGATGGCTAAAGCTAGCCTAAATGCTAGCTCACTCAGGTGCATTACATTACATCCAATCGTTACAATCTTCAAAATGAGTTAACCTCTCCAGACCTTATTACAAAATAAAATGAGTACGATATGGTAAGACCAGGCGTTTTTTGCCCCTGTTTTCCCTTCCTTTTTTGTGTATGAATAAGTCTGAGGTGATGCATTAAATAGGACAGTTTTGGCAGACATTCCCCATCTGTCCTGTATCTCCAGCCATGTTTGGACCTAGCTTTTTTTTCTTTCTTCTTTTCAGTTGTTTTTAAAGCTAAGAGCAGCATGTACAGAATGTGGCCTATATTGATGGCATGATGCTGCTGGGGGTCCCGCGGTGGAGCAGCCCGAGCCAAATGTTTGTGAATGTTTGTGGGCGTTGCCATTTGTCCTGCAGTGCTGTGCAGACTCAAAGACTATAGAACCGTGTCATCATGATGTTTGATCCAGCACCAAGCTCTGCGTATTGATTTTAATGGTTTCACTGGTGTCTGAGCCTACAAAGTTAGATATTTCTGTTGAGTATTCCTTGTCCTGTCGTTTTTATTTGTCTATGGACCATGTGTCTAAAAATTAAATCTTGGAATAATATTAATGTTTCATGCATGTGTCACTAATCTCTCCCTTGTCTGCTGTGACACGCCCACTGTTTGTGCTGTGTTCATTACTGCATCGGCCAAAACAAGTGTGTTGTACCCATGGACTGAACATATTAAAGTTGTCCCAATTATGGATGTAATTGATCATTTTCATAATCAATTTATTGAAAGATTAATCTTTTGATTGATGGAGTTGTATTGGATCCTGAAATGGGAGTGGATAAATCGCTACTAATAATTTAAAACCTTGGCAAAATTGTGTTTGGGTATTATTTTTTTCCTTTTTTATTCTGTGATTTCCCTATTGGGCCTTGTAATGGATTCACTTTAAGTATTTCCTGGTTTTGAGTTCTAACTTATACAATGTTAGCTATTTACTTGTTAGCTGCTTTTACAGATCATACTCAGTTAATTTGTACTAAATATAGATTCTTCAAGTGGATTCTGTCTTTTTACCTCGAGAGGCAGGACCACAGCGCCACCTGCAGTCCGACTTCTTATGCACAGAATCCCTTTGTCGATCCCTTGAGAACGACAAACACTGACGCTGGATCAAAGAGGCAATAGAAATACAGAAACGTGCCCCCAGGACTATAAACCAAGACGAGGGGGCAGTTTTACTCTCACACACTTAGGATTCTGTCCTGAAGAAGTCGGACTGTCGGTGGCGCTTTTGTCCGGCCTCTGACGGCACCGATAACTGTTTAAAATGGCTGACAAGACATGTTACTGGAACATCACATGACCACTCTGAGGAAGACTTCCACTTTAGTCTTAAAACAAAGAATCTGAACTGAAGGGTGTAAGCAGATCTTGAAAACCTACTGATAAAGATCGGTGTACGAAAACTTCCTGGATTGGTGCCTTCCTTGCAAACAATAGTTAAATAATCTCTGTCTACTTAAAGGTTTATAGGGGGATTTTCCCAAATTTTAGGAATGAACCGCCCTTTCCCCTTTGAAAAATCTCTCTGGTTTTATTTGACGAGCACATATCACCAGAATGATTGACAATTAGGAGGACCAATTGTCTTGATGATCCACCCGGAAGTTGAAAATCCTCCTATATACCTTTTAATACAATGATTTTTGACACTGAACTGAAACTGAATTGTTCAAGGCAAATAAGTCCATAAATAGTTCATAATCATTCATTTCAATCTTGCATGCGTCTTTCACATATATTTATTTATGTCTGCAGTGCGTCTGAGTGTCTCCTTACCAAGCGCGGTGTCCATTCATGATACTGGGGACTCATTATTGCAGAACGCACAGGGCAGTCTATTGAAGCTGGCGTTGGCGAATCAAAGCGTGGCCGGGTGAATGGTGCGCATTCATCAGAAGCGGCAGCTGCGGCGGCAGTGTGCGCTCCGGCCAGCCCCTGTGTTAATGGTAATCCGGCAGATCCTCATGACTTATCCTTTATCCTTTATGACCACGTTTGTCAGGCCTCTGCGAAATAATGCCCCCCCCCCCAGTAGCTTACATAACACCCCGCAAACACTGCCATAATCTGATGAACGCAATCATCTGGCGGAGGCGAGAATTGGGGATTTTGGATTGGATCTGTCTGGCTGCTGCGATTCAACGATTAACGCCACAAGCAAAAGAAACACGTGAGGCGGAAACAAGAGCTCTTTTTCCTCATTGTTTTTTATCATTCAATATCTACTTTCTTGCACACAGACAGGTGCAAGCTCAGTTAAATACATAATACATACTATAAGTAGGGATGCACCGATAGTGACATTTTGGGCAGATACCGATGTTTACCATAACAACTTGGCCAATGTTTTTTCCTTCTGTTATTCATATGTTAAGATTAAGGTTAAGAGATCCTTAATTTGTCCCCTTGCGAGGAAATTTCAGTATTGCATCACAAGTTACAGAACAGTTGAAAGGAGCAGCACACAGCACAAGATAAGTGAACAATAACTATACTAATTAAAATAAAACAAAATCTCAAATTCTAAGTATAAAGGGCTCTCTTCTTATATAGTTCTTGACGCCTTCAGTTTTGTTTTTCTTCGGCTTCTTACATTCGCTGTACACCGCTTCACGCTTCTCAAATGTCCAATGAAATTTTTTGTGTTAAATGATTTTCTAGCAGTCCTCCTTGAAATCTCACTTCAAAAAAACTTCATCACGCAGATCTTTTTTGGATGCTGTATTATATTGCCACACGACTACCGGCCATAACATTGGCCGGTGCATTCCTGAATATAAGCAACATTTTGCTGCTAAGTAATTGATGTGCTAAATGTCTTTTTAATATGTTTTGAGACCATTGTTTTTTCCTTGTTGTAATGCTGTGTCAGCCCAGTCAATACAAACTTCAGTGTTCCTTGTGGTCAAAACAACATGCTAACCTTTCCCATGGTTGTCCCAGGTCGACACCACATACCAACACGGGTCTAAAAACCGGGGTCTGCAGTGGACATCTTATGTACAGTGGGTTGTTTTGGCCAAATCCAAAGCAAACGGCAATCTATCATTCTTTTCATTTATGACCATTTATGGACAGTGGTCATCTCGCTCCACATAGACTAATGACATTTCCTGTGCTTTCCCTTTTTTGATTATTCCGCATCTTGGTGATTCTGGTGATTCTTTGGTGAATCTTACAACTGCTGTTTTAATTTAGGACTACACACATTGAATAATCACAGTGGAGCTGACATTGGAATGTTGTTTAAATTATCATTAATAAGTAATATGTGGCTATAATATATTGCATACTGACCAGTTGGCTCTGGCCAGTCTGATGGAAGAGTGTTGCATGCAGATGTGGGCCATTGTCTTTTGCCTGTTTCTTTGAGTTTTGAAAAGGCAACCAAGAATAAAAATGCCCAGCAGTAAATCATATTATCCCATAAAATACGACATTAGATATTTTGCTCTTTTCTTTTCATTTGTGTGACAGGACTCTGATAAGCATAAGTGAAATTGAAAAAAGTTGTGTAAACGTCCTTGGATTGTATTTAGTTGTGTAGTTCTGACTGCAGTCTCGTCCATCTCTGCAGTGGTGATGTCCTGAAGAGCCTCCGCCGGTGAAGGACGTGCCAGGCCGGCCCGCTGCTGATGGGAGCCGGAGAGGAGCCATGAGCGCTCGTGATGGCGGAGGGGGAGGAGGAGGGGGAGGCACCCTGGGGCGACGGCAGCGCTTCGAGAACTCAGAGTTCACCGTGCGCATCTACCCCGGGGCGCTGGCCGAAGGAACCATCTACTGCCCCATCAGCGCGCGCAAGACCACTACCGCCGCGGAGGCCATCGAGAGGGTCATCGACAGGTATGAGCCACAAACGCAACATTCTGTGAACAAAGCCGACCACGCGCTCTTCATACTCTATACATCTCCTAAGGCACGGCACATTTATTTGTATAGCACAGTTCAACTCAAAGTCTTTAACCAAAACAAGATAGAAACAATGACACAAGCATTAAAGGTGCAACGGATTTTTGTTAGCTTAGCAGTAGCACCGAGTCAAAACCACTCCCCCTCTCCCTTGTCCTCCACCAAACCCAACCCCCAGAAAACATGAAGGTTTCTGTAATAACGCTGTGCTTAAAATGTGAAACCATTACACTACATTAGAGCTCAAGTCTGTGAGTGATTAGCTAGCTTCCCCTAACAAAGTAGCAATTAGCAAAACTGCTTTACAGAGCCTGGCGGCGTCAGTCTTTTTATACAACGTCATCTGATTTTCTCTTCTTTGCCACAACAGAGCGAGTGGCAAATGTGAAATCTGTCACTTTTGGGGGGAGTTTTCGGTTCAGCCTTTATAGGTGTTTTAGAAAATCCAACTCGATAGCAACTCAGACAGGGTGAATGCATCCCGTTGGTTTATTTCTATTGGTCCGCTCCAAGATATTTATGATTTATTTTTTGAGGCTACAGGCATCTGGTCCATTCCTTTTTGAAAACACGTGATAACTTCACTACTTTTGGGGTTTAGGGTCATTTCGCCACAGTATTTAAAAAAAATGCGTCCGGATACATCATTGATTGCATCTTTAATATCATTAATAATAACGGTGCATTAGAAAGAAATACATTCCTATAGTTGTATCCACAGCTAAACAAAACTGCTTTAACCAAGATTTTAACAAAGTCAGGGTCTGGCCTCCTGCTGGTGCCAAAGTCAGGACTAAACATTGGGGAGGCAGCGTTTCAAATTTCAGTATTACTGAAAATGTGACACAGGCTTCTACTGTGACAATGTTCAAAACCAGTTTTAAAAAGTTCTGTTTAGCGGTACATCTGAAGGACTCTATCTTCACTCTTTTACATGTACTGTGATTATTTATTTATGATTGTAATTCCTTGATAGACTCAGTTCATAAACAAGGGAACTCAAATACATTTTCCTTGCCGTTCCTAAATTAAGAGAACTCGTCCTCTCAAAGTCACCATCATCATGCTTCCCCAGTCTGCTGGAACAGCAGCATCACAGAGAGGGACAGGAAGACAAGGTCATCAGGAAGTCCAGCTCAGTCCTGGGCTGTTCCCTGGACACAGTGCAGCAGGTGGGGGACAGGAGGGTCCTGGACAAACTAACATCTATGCTGGACCATGACTGTCACCCCCTGCAGGACACTCTCTCTGCTCTGGAGAGCAGCTTCAGTGACAGACTAATTCACCCTCGCTGTGTGAAGGAGAGGTTCCTGCGCCATGTTGTTCAGTGCTCCCCGAGGGGGGCGTGACTGTTTACATCTGAGGCTTCTCGGCCCCCACCACCCCCCTCCTCTTCCTTACCAGCACCGGGTGAGTACTGTGGTGCAAACACTGACCCCTGTCCGTCTGGCAGTGTAACGACAGTCCTGCCACTGAACTGTGCTGACTCAGTTATGCATCTGGAACTTAACAAAGTACAACAGAGTTCACTTTTTAAACCAATAGAGACTGTGTGTGTTCCTCGCACCAGCTCAGAAATGTGTTTTAACTTGAATAAACACAAATTTAAAAGAAGGACAGCAGTTAGACGGTCCAACTCTGGAAATCTAATTCCAGTTCTTTGTAATCAATCAACTAAACCCACTGACACTGATATTAATTTTAACCTTGCTCTACTTAATGTCAGATCACTATGCAACAAATCATTTTTAATTAATAATTTTATCTGTTCGTATGATCTTGATTTTATGTTTATGACTGAAACATGGCTTGACCATAATACAGGAGATGCAGTTTTAATAGAAGCCTCACCACCAAATTTCAAATTTGAATATGAAACACGAGAAAATAAAAGGGGGGGGGGCATAGCAGCAGTTTTTAAAGATCGTATTGTCTCCCATAGGGTGTCTCTTGGGAAATTTTCATCATTTGAGTATGTTTCTTTTAAAATAGAACAAAAGAAATCTTCTTCCATTCTTATTATTGTTGTGTACAAGCCGCCACAGTCATGCCATAGTTTCACTGATCATTTCACTGAGTTGCTTTCAGTTGTGTGCACAGATTTTGATGGTTTAGTCATTATAGGCGATTTTAATATTCATGTGGATAATGTTAATGACAGATACGCAAAAGAGCTGAGTTCCATACTTGAATCCTTTGGCCTCACTCAGCATGTGAGTGGCCCCACCCATAGCAGAGGACACACCTTGGACCTGCTTATCACGAAAGGGGTGAATATTTCAAAAGTTAATGTAGTTGATGTTGCTCTGTCGGATCATTTCTGTGTATTTTTTAACATGTGTTTTGCTACCAGACCACCCGCTAAATATGAAATTGTTAGAAGTAGACACTTAAATGAAAACACGGGTGAACTATTTATGGGAATGATCCATTTTGAGAACACATCATGTTCTACTGTAGATGAACTGCTTAACTCTGTCACCTCTAGTGTGTTGAATGTTCTGGACGCCATTGCCCCTGTGAAGGTAAAAATGGTCACAAATAAGCAAAAAGCCCCATGGATAAAAGCAGGCCCGGTCAGGGCACAGAAGCAAGAGTGCCGGAGAGCAGAGAGAAAGTGGAGAAAGTCCAACCTCCAGGGTGATTATAGACTCTTAAAAGAGAAGTTGTGTGAGTTTAACAGAGTACTACGTAGAACAAGAGAATTATACTTTTCTGAAACTATTGAAGGCTGCAGCAATAATCTGCGTGTTCTATTTTCAACAATCAATAGATTAACGAACCCCCCTGTTGAGTTGCCATTAGAACACTACTCCAAATCCAGGTGTAATGAGTTTGCACAGTTCTTCAGAGACAAGGTTCAGGGTATCAGAAATGCCATCACCTCTACAACACAAGTAACAATGCAACATCCAGTGAGGCTTTGTGAGCTAGCTCAATTTGCACCTGTCAATGATGAAACTGTTAAAAAGATAATCACAGGTCTTAGTTCCTCTACCTGCAGTCTGGATGTACTACCTCCTAGATTTCTGAAGTCTGTTATGTGTAGTCTATTACCCTCATTGACACAAATAGTAAACATGTCTTTTTTATCTGGAACATTTCCAATGGCCCTGAAAAAGGCAGTCATTAGGCCCCTCCTAAAAAAGAGCAGTTTGGATGCTGCGGTACTTGAAAATTACCGTCCCATCTCAAATCTGCCTTTCATGGGAAAAATTCTTGAAAAAGTTGCCTACCAACAACTTACTGAATTTTTAATATCTAATGACTCATTTGACATGTTTCAGTCTGGCTTTAGACCACACCACAGTACTGAGACCGCTCTAGTCAAGGTAACAAATGATATTCGGCTTAACACTGATGCAGGAAAAGTCTCTGTTTTAGTCATGTTAGATCTGAGTGCCGCTTTCGACACCGTTGACCATGAGATTCTCATGCAGAGACTGGAGGACTGGGTTGGTGTTGCTGGTACCGCCCTAAGCTGGTTTAGGTCCTATCTAGAAGAAAGGAAGTACTGTGTGGAGATTGGAAACTATGTCTCAGATAATATGGCCCTGACCTGCGGAGTGCCACAGGGGTCGATTCTGGGACCTCTCCTGTTCAATATTTACATGCTGCCATTAGGTCAGTTAATTCAAAGTATGAAAGTGTCCTACCACAATTACGCTGATGACACTCAGATCTATGTCTCACTGACTGCAGGAGAGCATGGGCCGGTGGACTCACTCCTTCGCTGTATCCAGCGGATCAGTGAGTGGATGCAATGCAATTTTCTCCAGCTAAATGCGGACAAAACCGAAATGATTGTCTTTGGTCCCGAGAAACAAAGAGAGACCGTCATTTGTCACCTTCAGTCTCTCTCCCTAAGGCCCTTAAATAAGGTCAGAAATCTGGGAGTAATAATGGACTCTGACTTAAACTTCAATAGCCACATTGGATCGGTAACATCAGCAGCTTTTTATCATCTGAAAAATATTGCCAAAATTAAAAATATTGTGTCCAGGGCAGACTTGGAGATTCTTATCCATTCTTTTGTTTCCAGTAGGCTGGATTACTGCAATGGCCTGCTCACAGGTATCTCCAAACATGCAGTAAGACAGTTGCAGTATATTCAAAATGCTGCAGCCCGAGTCCTGACTAGAACCAGGAAGTACGACCACATTAGTCCGGTCCTCAGGTCTCTGCACTGGCTTCCCGTGGCCCAGAGGATAGACTTTAAAGCAGCTCTCCTGGTGTACAAGTCTCTCCATGGCCTCGCACCAAAGTACATCCATGATATGCTAGTCCCATATGAACCAGCCCGGACTCTGAGGAGCGCAGGGACGGGACTCCTGTTAGTGCCCAGAGTCAGGACTAGACAGGGGGAGGCTGCTTTTCAGATTTATGCAGCTGGAGTCTGGAACGGTCTTCCTGAGGATGTGAGACTGGCTGCCTCTCTGTCAATGTTCAAATCCATGTTAAAGACTTTTCTTTTTTCCCGTGCATACAACTAGAGAATTTTATCTTTTTAACACACCTTGTTATTTATTGTTGTAACTTTTTGTGTTTTTAACTATTTTATTGTTTTTAATTACTTGTGTGATTTTTATGTTTTTAAATTACTTATGTGATTTTAATGCTTTTTAATTACATATGTGTTTTTAATTGTATTTTAATGGTGATGATTTGTGCATTGTGTGGTGTGGACTGTGAGGCGCTTTGTGTTGCCCTGTGCAGGAAAAGCGCCCTATAAATAAAGATTGATTGATTGATTGATTGATTCCGTAGGTCTTTCCTTCCTGCTGCTGTCAGACTGCACAACGAGAATGTGTAACAGGAACTGCTGAGTCTGCACAAGTGTTTCTGATAATTCACTAGTAACTTTGTCACTAGTCACTTTACCTGTTATCAGTACTACTGTATTATTACATATCTGATATTTCTTCCTTTCACCGTCACTTTACCTGTTGATATTTGACTGTATTATTACATATCCATCTGATAATTCTCCCATTCAAGTCACTTTACCTGTTGATATTATTTCTGATGTTTATTCTGCTCATATTCATATTCTCATTCTCCGCGGCTGATGTATAATATAGACATCTGTAAGTTTCCGAACCAAGTGCAATTATAGCCCAGAGTTTATCTCATTTTATTTTATTCTTATCTTAATTTTATCGTGTATTACCTTAAATAATAGACTCAATTTGATGTGTGCAATCTGAGTGCTCTTATTTCCTCTCTCTGGTGTAATGGCAAGGCAAGGCAAGGCAAGTTTATTTGTATAGCACAATTCATACACAAGGCAACTCAAAGTGCTGAACAAAACAAGAAAGCATTAAAATCATAAATAATCACAGTACATAGAAAAAAATAAAAAAATAATAAAAAAAAGATAAAAATATAAAATCCCTCAGTTGTATGCACAGCTAAACAGAACCGTCTTTAACCTGGTTTTAAACATTGTCAGAGAGGAGGCCTGTCTCACATGTGCGCAACGATGACACTGAAATTTCTCCACTGTGAGACTAATAAAGGTTTATCTTATCTTATCTTATCTTATCTGAATAACCACGTTGGCTTCTCCGCTGTCTAGGCTGCAGCTGGACCGCACCAAGTGTTATGTCCTGGCCGAGGTGAAGGAGTTCGGGGGGGAGGAGTGGATCCTGAACCCCTGTGACTGTCCCGTTCAGAGGATGATGCTGTGGCCCCGCGTGGCTCTGGAGCAGCGGCCCCTGTCCGGAGGAGAGGACTACCGCTTCCTGCTGCGCCTCAAGAACCTGGACGGCTCCATCCACTACGGCGGTAGTCTGGCCATGTGGCTGCAGGTGACGGAGGAGCGGCGCCGCATGGTGGAGCGCGGCCTGCTGCCTCAGCCACACGCTCAGGTACGCACTGAAACAACATGAGCAAACTGATATTGCTAGTATTACATGAGTTACCTTTATCAACTCTACTCCACTTTCAATACGTAAATGTTGACGTTTTTTGAATGAGTACTTTTTGAGCAACTCTGTGGATGTGAGTGTGTGTGTGTCATAAAACATATTATTTTATATTATGTGGGTATTGAAAATCAGTGAATTAATCAAAAATGGCTTCCTGTAGCCTCCAGCCTCTCGGCACAGAGTTGGTTCATTTTAAAACGGAATATTCTCCATGTGCATCTCAGCCCATTAACCATGTTTGTATGCACACTCTTTTGGGTCTTGTCCCTTTCCTTTTGTTGACAGGTGGAATTACTATGTTAACCTATAACTACAGTTATACTGTACCTCAGTAATCCCTCCGATCCCTGCATGTAGTAGTGCATGTAGTAAAAATGTTAAATGATTTTGGTTGCCAGATATGCAGATGAATCCAGCTGAGACCTTAATAACTGAATAGACAATAGTTTTGTCAACAACAAATCTATAACCAACACCTTTTTCACAAAGATAGAAATCCTGGTTTTGATTTGAGAATCATAACAAGACCTTTTTTAGTTCTGTGCCACATGTTTCTTTACCAGTGGGATTCGGGGAATCTGGTTACCCAGATCACGGACTTTCTGATTGGTAAAACCGTGGAGTGCAGGACATGGAAACAAGATTCAAGGGCTGTAAAACTAATTTTAAAATCTGAATATCTCGTCTAAACTACTGTTTATAAGTTAAAGAAGTATTTGAAAAGTTTTATTTATGCCTTTTACAGATTAGGGCCCTTTTTAATGATGACTCGACATGAAATTCTTACTTATTGCTACTCTAAGAAATGTATACATGCCTTTACATTTTTTCATCTTACAACTGGAGCCACAAACGTTGCACGCCTAGTTTGTGACTTTCTGTTACTTACAACGACAATAAGAATATTTCTGGTTTTGATTGGGACACAGGGAGACTACGCCGACCTGTGCTGCCTGCCGGAGCTGAACGAGCGCTCGCTGCTGGACAACCTGCGCTCTCGCTTCCGCCAGGAGCAGATCTACACGTACGTGGGCAGCATCCTCATCGTCATCAACCCCTTCAAGTTCCTCCCCATCTACAACCCCAAATACGTCAAGATGTACGACAACCACACGCTGGGCGAGCTGGAGCCGCACATCTACGCCGTGGCGGATGTAGCTTATCACGCCATGTTACAGCGCCAGAGCAACCAGTGCATCGTCATCTCTGGCGAGAGCGGCTCCGGAAAGACCCAGAGCACCAACTTCCTCATCCACCACCTGACCGCGCTCAGTCAGAAAGGCTATGCCAGCGGAGTGGAGCAGATCATCCTAGGAGCGGGGCCGGTGCTGGAGGTAAGAGCCACATGCACTCTGGGCCACTTACACTCTGGGCAGCTGGTAGTCTGGGCCACTGATAGTCTGAGCTCTGCAGCATCTCTTTGTCCAGAGACCTTCCAGAGACTTTATATAACAGCAGTATGTGTTCACGGAGGTGCGTCATAAGTTTATTTTATTATTAAGCGGTGCTTGCGCATCGGCGAACATGCTAACTCTAGCTCTGCTAGTTTATTCACTACTAGAGCCTGAATGAGAACAACTACTGTGTCCACCGTTGTCAATCCTGGTTAAGTCCTGGTTTAGTCCTGGTTTAGGTCCTGTTTTGGCTGTATTTTGTATTTTTGAGTTATTTCAGTCTGCTCGCGTCACGCGTGACCACTTTGCGACTCTCTGACCCGAGAGGGAGAGGGAGAGAGAGACAGGAAAACAAACAAGCATGCAAATAGAATTCATCGCGGCCAGGAAAACTATCGAGCTAATTTTAATTGATTTATTGAATATCTCGACAGGTCTACTGGTAGTCTGGGCCACTTACCCCCTGGGCCACTTGTAGTCTGGGCCACTTACACTCTGGGACACTTCTGAGGCTGTGCTCTGAGGGTTTGGGTTCAGTCTGGGTTTGTTGTTTCTGTGTTCAAAAGAGGTCCCAGACAGCTGCCTTGTGGAGGACCATAAATTACGTTTGTTCCATCTTCAATGACCTTGTTGATGTTTATTATGTGCAGACGTTTGACTGGAAAGGGACGTTTCATAAATCCATGTCATTTTTAAACTAGTGCAAAAACGTTATCCTTGAACATTCAGGACACATTGCCGCACCAGGACAGACATCATTATTCTATTAATAGGCCACTCTCACATGAAGGTGAGCTCCCAGAACATTATTCAAATACAACAGACTAAAGTCACAAAATGTTGACATAATGGAGTAACTCAAACCTCAGATGTAAGTTACAAGCATAAACTCATAGAACAAATAAAAAGTGTTGTTTGTGCGATTGCATCATGCACAAGATTTTGACTGTACTGACTCATATGATGTTTATATTCACTGAAAATTGGCCTTGGGGGCAGAGTAGTAAGGACTCTCGCTTCTCGGCAAGAAGGTCCTGGGTTTGTATCCTGGTCGGAACAGGGCTTTTTTTAGAGGAGTTTGCATTTTCACCCTGTGTCTGCGTAGGTTTCCTCCAGGTGCTCCGGTTTTCCCTACCACTAGAAACATGTACAATAGTTATGTATGTAATTGGGGGAGTGAATGGATGGTGTTGGTTTGAGGTTTTTGACGGTCCAATGTGTTCGCCGTCTCGTCTCTGTCATCATCGTGTGGAGTGATTGGAACATTATCTGAACTCATATCTGTTGGGGTGTTTCAATACATATATAGGCCAACAAAAACACAGAATGAGCAACAGATGTGTTCATGTTTTGCCTGTAATGTCTCTCCAATGTGTTTGTTATTATTGTGTTTGAACTGAATGCCCACTCTGAGGTTGTGTTCTGAAATCTCCGCCGACTATTGCTGTGTTCTCATAACTGGGTCAGCTGTTGCATCGACATTTAAGGACTTTTATCAACATTTATGGACATTGGTCTTCTGCCCCATATGGACCAATGGCTCTATGTGTTTTTTATTGTTGCACTTTCTGTGTTTGATTCTCTTATCTATGTTGGTAAATCGACAGGTTTGTAAAGTGCTCCTAAAGAACTACTGTTGTGATTTAGGGCTATACAAAAATGAATTGAGTTGAGTTGGTGCGATTGGCATGAGGCACAAGATTGGGTCCAAGATATTAAGATTTTGACTGTAGTGACTGCTAATGTTTGAAGAAACCAGGGGTGGGATTAAATAAGCTTTTCCCTTCTTCCCACTCCTTTTCGAGTATCTGCAAGTGTTTCTCTTGTGTATATAATATCTATAACTTTGTATTATGTAAATGTAACTCAGGGTTCTTTATGCACAATTTTAGTATTCTACTTTTGTTTCTTGAACACTTATTTGCTTGAAATAAACATGGCTTATTATACGTTGTTTATATGCACTGGAAATGTTCTACAGCGACCACTGCTCCTCACAGAGGCCAGAGTGGCATCACAGGATGAGTCAAACGCAAAGTATAACTTGAGGTGTAGGGTCAGAGAGTGTTTGGGCCTGTGTGTTGTCGGAGTGTGTGTTTAGTGTTGTCTGTTTGTAATGTATTGTTGTATGTTTGATGGGGTTGGAACCAAATAAGCATTTCCTTTTCGAACCAGGTACAGGTTATTTGTCTGTTATATTGATACATGTAAAAATATGTATTGTGCAGGTTCGATATAAAAAAATAATTTAAAAAACTTGTGAAGAGATGAGTAGGGTATGGTGTCATGGGGATAAAGATGCAAAAAAGGTCCCAGACAAGCTGCTTTGTGGAAGACCAAAAATGACGTTTGTTCCATCTTCAAAGACCTTGTTGAGGTTGATGTTTATTACGTCTGTTTGACTGGATAGGGGCGTTTCACAAATCCACAACCTTTTTACACGCGTTTAAATACTCGCCAACGTATAGGCCAACAAAACACATAATGAGCAACAGATTTGTTCTTGTGTTCCATGAAAATGTTGCTTTAAAACACGTATTCTTCCATTAAGGATGATTTTTGTGCTTAAAGACAATAGACTTTCTTCTCCACAGATATAACTTGTAACTTAGAACTTAGAACAAACTAGTACTAAATCTATGCTAGTTAATAATGACAGCAACAATCTGTTCGTTTTAATGTGGAGTTTTTGCAGTGCGCCTGAGTCTGCGGCCGCTTCGTGTTTTTGTGATTACAGCTCTTCCCGAGTCGAGTGGAAAACTTGTTTGAAGGCAGACAACCCAGGAAGCAGACTGTTTTTATATCTTTTCAACATTCCATCCATACTGGCTCGCTCGCCTTCTTCACGAGGGAGCTGTCACTGTAAAACACACAGCCTCTGACACCAGCACAGGCACACATTGTCTGCCCGTTCGTCCCCAGCATCAGCTAAATGCCTCCGAAGTTATGTAACGCCAGGCAACTCTCGCACAATGCAGGCGGGCAGGACGAGCAGCCGCGGAGCCGTGGGGCGAGTGCGAGGCCAGTCACGGCTCACGAGCAGCTGCTGAGGCCCCGACTGTGGCCTCTCCAATGGAAAAAACACACACAGTTTTAGATGATTTTAGAAGATTTGATGTACTCTTTTTTGATGAAACTAAGACTCAATTGTAACTCAAACATGTCACTCAAATCTAATGGTGTTACTAAGTGCTGCTGTGCCCTTGGGCAAGACTCTGCACCTGCATGGCCCCCGATGCTTTCATGTCATACAGAGCTGCAATATATTCCCTTTTAAAGTAACTCGGTAATGTAGCGTATTGCAAAACATAATTGGTCATTTACTACTTATCAATGTATGTCCAGTTGCTTGCCTATTCAGGAAAGTCTAATTTGAGGACATTTATGGACATTTATGGACATTGTTCGTCCCACTCCCTATGGACCAATGGCTCTCAGGTGTTTGTTATTTTTGTATATCCTAGTTTTAACTGATTCTCTGATCTGAATTTGTGAAGTCCTCTGAGACGACTGCTGTTGTGATCCAAGGCTATACATACATCTATAGAACTGAACTCTCAATTGACTTGCAAATGTTCCTTGTTCTCTCATTCGTGACAATTCATTTGAGAATATGAATTTTGATTATGAATATGAATTTTGTCGTAAATATACAGTACATTCAATTTGTCCTTCCTTGTAACTAGTAATATTCATACAGAATACTACAATAACATGAGTAATGTGTGCTCTACTTTGGATATGTCCGTGAGGGTCTGGTTGAGCAAAGGGATACAAATAAATAAGAAAAAGTTTATTTTTTGTATATTTCAACAGTAGTTATCTCAGAGGACTTTACATGACTGTCGACTTCGCCCACGCCGATCAGAGACACAAACTGTTCAAACACTAGAAATACAAATCCATAGAGCAATTGGTCCACAAGGGGGGATGACCAATGTCCATGTTAATTGCCTTTTGTAATAATATCCTCAAAAACACACCTCAAGTTCCCCCTGAAAAATTCTACCACAACTTCTACACATTCTACTACAGCAGTTTCATCCACTATTTTACTTTTTACTGCGCTGGAAAACAGCAGCAAGCATTTTTCTTGCTTTTTTCTACCTGCGATGTTGCTGCTGTACAGTGTTCACGGTTTTGCACTGGTCCAGACCAGAGCAGAGAGGATTCGTGGTCTGAACCAAGCGGATCAGGTGAAAATCCACTGGAGGAATGCTAACTTTTTGAAAACTGCTAATGAAGCCTTTAGCATTTTACTTTGGACTAGAGCAGAGAAAATTGTCCAAACCTAGTGGCTTCTCCATCTCTGCTGCTGTGACCTGAAGGGCTGTTGCTGATTATTACTATTGTTAGCTTCTTAGAATGATCAATTTTTTTATTTATTTTTTAGCTGCTACTGGATTGAATTTTTCCTAAGGGGATCAATAAAGTATTTATCTATCTATTTATTAAGTCCCCTTTCTTGTGCCAGCGAAGCCCGTCCTGACTGTCTGGCCGCATGAGCCATGTGCTCAGCGTTTACCGAGCAGCAAAGGCAAACACAAGCTGGAGGAATGCCATTCAGCGGTGCGCCCTGGTTAATGTGTGAGCAGAGATAATCCTGCCCGCTCACACGTGCTGAGGCCAGAGCCGAGCAGAGCGGAGAGGGCAGGGAGCAGCCTCTGTTTGCTCAGGGTGATTGCGTATCGGCCTGATGGCGATGCGAGCCAAGAGTGTGACGCTGCTGCTACTGCTCCTGACAGAGAGGAGCCTGGGACCTCTTTCAGCAGTGAGTGTTCTGTGGTCTTCCCCCAGCCTGAAGAAGCATCTCTACTGCTCGTTTGTACGGACACGGGCTTCTCACAGCTGTGTAGTGACGGATTATTCTGGTGAGCTGCCTGTTCTGGAAGTTCTGTATGAATCCAGACTCTTGAATTGAGCTCTTAAGATAATAAACT